CATCAGTAATATTTCAGCGATAATAAATAATTCGAAGGACTGCTTAAATGATAATGTCACTACCATTGTATGGCACAACCTCATAATCGCAATGGGATAAAGAAAAGTCAATCAACCCGGAGAATTAGAATTAATGCTTTATAAATCGATTAAAATTTGTGAGAAAATTTTGAAAGATTTACCTGGAAACACCACTGATGTTCATAGCGTACGGACCGTTTATCTAGAAAGGGCCTGAGAAGCGCCCAAACTTCTCTGCAATACTCATATATATAATATACATATATATAATATATATAATATATATATATATACAATATATATATAATAGATATATAGTATATATATAACATATACTATATATATATATATATATATATATATAATAAAAATCATTGATCATTCGTTTGGGATTCGAATTCGCAAAAAAAGGTTTTCAGATTCAATATCTGAATTATTTTTTAGGTTTTATTTTAAATTCTGCATGAAGTAGTCAAGAAATTGGTATAGAACATTGCTGCTTGAGGTAATCTGGGGGAAAAAAAGAAATTTAAATAATTGTAGCATAACATTTCGAAAATGAATGCTGAGAAAATAGGGAAGGGGTAAGCGCAAAGAAATGACGGATTTTTGAAAACTCTTGCAAACTTTCTAAGTTTCAAATTCTCAATAGAAAGATATTTCTCTGGAATTATGGATTGTATTTGAACATCGGATTGCAGAGCGATAACGATAACTGAAGGAGCAAGAGGAAGAGATGAAATTCAACCCTGATCTTTTATTGAAAGATAACACTGAAAATCTAACTGATAGGATAAGCACCAAAATAAATTCTGAAGCATTATTAGGTCAGAAAACGCCTTTGGGAGTGAAGCATATAAATTGGAAATAGTATATTTCCAAGAAAAGAGGAAATTATTTGAACAATTATTGGAGTTTAAAAATTTCGAAAGGATCTATGGACAGTTAGTTGGTGCCTCCAAATTCGCAATTATCTATGCCGCATTTCTGGCAAATCGAGATTTGCCACGAGACAGCTCATCTTGTATGTCTTCTACGGTACGACCCTTCGTTTCTGGTACATACATCCACGTGAAAAATGCAAAAAATGCCAGAAACCCAGAGAAGATCAGGAAGGTATACTGGTGCAACATTTGCTGAAAATTTTCGAATTTGTAAATGTATTGTATTGCAGGAGAATATTGCATATTAAAGAATCATTCCTTTCATTGATACATATTTATGTCTCAATGCCTGCAGTAATGAACACAGGACAATGTTGAAAAGATAATCCTAACAGATTTCGCTGACCGCCAGATGTACTTACAACTGTCAACAGAGTTATCAAAGAAATAAAAAACAGAATTGTCACTCACGTTGAGAAATTCGAATGATGTTCCAACGAGGAAGTTTGCGGTCCAATTAGTTGCTGCGGCGACCGAATTTGCAGCACCACGTGCACCCGACGAGAAAAGTTCTGAGACGAAGAACCATGGAATGGAACCTGCAAAAAAAAGAAAAACATGAAACAGGCCAATCTTCTAGAAAATAATTTATCACCAATATCGAGGCTTTTAGTGATAATTACGGTAGCATCCCACATTTATAAGATTCCGGACGAAGTAAAGGAATAAAAGGCTTCCAATTGTTTTGTTTTCTACTTTCACTGCAAATAAGTTGAAAGTTTGATAGATTTCTGGCCAACAATAATAATTATTTAAAAAGTGAGAAAAAACTGGAAAAATTCTTACCTGGACCAGTCGCAAAGAAAATCACGAAGAGGAAAACGAATAAACAAGCAGGATAAGACGCCCATTTGTTATTTATTTGATCTGATGTCTGCAAAAATATCACCCACTTTCATCGGATTTTGCTCCACACAGTTTTATTTAAGAGTTTACAGGTTCAAATACAGTTTACAGGTTCAAATATTGATCCATTGCAGTAACATATACTTACGTAGACTGAGATGAAGATAACGATAGCGATGGAAGCAAAGAACATTCCAATCAAACCAATCATAAGCAACATGACACGTCCACATTTTGGATGATCCACCTAGATTTGCATTATTTCTTGAGTGACAAAAGCCAAAAATAATTTCGAAAAAACACAGCAAAAAATAGAAGTATAAAACAAACAAAGAACAGTTAATTAATTCTTCTAGTGTACCTTACTCACTCCAGAACAATTAAGGCCGCATCTCTCTGATAATGGAATGGAAAATGATTTGAAGTTTAGCAAAATTCGATAAACCACTCAAGAAATATTGACAAAGAAACTCACCAGGTAGACAGAGATGACAGTCATGAGAACGTTGATCAAACCCATTACCAAGGTAGCGTATACGGCATTTTCACCCAATCCAGCACCTTCGAAAATCATCGTGGAGAAAAACATGGCCACATTGATACCAGAAAATTGCTGCGCTAACATCATTAAAATTGCAATAGTCATAGGCCAAAGCAGATTACCACGAAACAAATCGAAGATACCCATCTTGGGAACAGCGTTTATCTTAGCTTGCTCCTCTTTCATTAAATCAATTTCGGCTTTCACCTGGAAAATTCATTTCAATCTAATTCTTCCTTTCTAATCATATATATTCAAAGGACAATCTCATACCAATATAACTCTCTAACAGCAACAATTCTCGACAAAAACACTTCATGGAAATACTATATTCATCCCAAAAGCAAGAAAAAATATTACATTATCCTTTCCTCGTAACTTCTTCAGATCCTCTTCAGCCTGTTCGGCGCGATCTCTTACAATCAAACTGTATTTGGGCGATTCCGGAATCATCGGCAGTGTAGCTATTTGGAAAACCACTGGTACTACGGTGAATCCTGCGCAGCAATGTTATTACCAAATCAAAATTTTAGATCTCAGGATGACCCAAAATTGGAGAGTTTGTTGAAAACTTATGAGCAAACATAAGCTGACAATACGTAAAGCTTATCAATTAGAAAATGATCGTTCTTCCCCTACTCTACTTTTTCACAGCAGAAAATGAACAAAGAGCAGATTCTGCAAATCGAAATCAAAATTCACCGAAAATCATAGGCCACAATGTCGTCGATCCAAGAAGTTGTGGCAGACCAATAATCTGCGAGAATAAAATGCCGATAGTTACCAAAAGTTGCGCGACACTACCCAGGGAACCACGTAAATTAACCGGTGATATTTCGGTAAGATACATTGGTACTAAACCTGAGCTTAAACCTGAAATCATAAACATATGCAATAAACGGCATTATTTTATAAATTGGTAACAGTTTTGCGATGTTTAGCGAAATATGTGCACGAATTAAGTAACATTTAGGTTTTAAAAAAACAGCAAATAACATTATTTGTCAGTATATCAGTATTTGTTGATACCTGTGTGAATGATGACAATCAAACTAGTTGATAGCTTCTTTGTCAGTAATTAGATAAGCAAATGAAAACTAATCATGATTACGAATTATTGAAATATTTACCAGAGTTGATACCAATAACAAGACGTCCGACGATAAGTAATGGGTACACATTAACATAATAGGCCAATGTCATTAGCACAGCAGCCAAGACAGCTACAACATTATTAAATGCCATAGCGCCTTTACGACCTAACCAATCAGCCATTTTACCAGATCCCAATCCTCCAATCATACCACCCACAGCAAATATACCAACCGCTATAGCCCTGAAATCAATATTTGTCAATACTTGCGTAGTTCCAATTAAATATCAGGCAAAATCTGTAAATGAACAAAATGAATAGTTAAATTTCAGTTCAATTTCTTTAAAATCCGAAGTCCACAGCTTTTCTTTAGATTACAAAGACCTGTGATAATCCGTCTACGGCACCACTGTTTCTAAATTTAATCTTGTAAATTTCATTCAACAGCGAGTAATAATTTTTTCGAAATAACAGTAATAATGGGAAAATAAAAAGTAAGAGATCACTACCATTGCACTCTGCCAATTTCATCAAGCGTTAATGTTTCGTCGAAAAGTTTCTTATGTGAATCGATCATCCATAATTTAATTATCTAAAATTGCACTTCGGATAAGAACCTATTTCAATTTGAAACCGCATAAAATAGAATAACAAACATAAAAAATGAAATTTAGACTACAGAGTATTAAAAAAAACACTGCATACTTTTGCAGGAACATTAACACATCCGATATGATAACCGAATTGAAATGAACCACCAATTGCTGCCGATGCAACAGCCAACAGCAAAGGTTGTGTCCATCCACCCTAAAAATTTCAAATGTTTGTTGAAATTCGAAAAATAAAATAGCATTTAACCTTACCTATGACATTATTCCATTACAATTTTTTTCCTTTTTTACCAAAGAATTTTCTTTTCGATTTTTTTTCAAAATAAAAAAAATGGAAGTCTTAATAAAAGTGAGGGCTTTATTTCAGAATGAATTTATAATAGCATAAAGAGTGAAAATCTATTTTGTTTCTTTTTTTTCCCTAACAATTCTACATTCAACGTGTAATCAGACAGATAAAAATGTCTTATGATGCCTTCCAACAAACTTCACTCTTCCTAGTGATAAGTAGAAAAAGACACAAGAGAGATAGATAAATTTATGTTTTACAGGTACGATTAAATTTGATAATTTGAAAGTTTGAGGATAGGGCAGTCAAGAGCAATACGTACTTCACCTGTTTGTTGACCTTTACCCATCATCTTCTTAGTGCACAGTGATTCAATTCGGAAGTAGTCTGTCAAAGAAACAATTAATTCTGTACAGCTAGATAGTCTAACCGCTGTGAACACTAGCACCAAAAGCGCAAAAAAAAGTATCAGTCAGAGCGGTTTTTCGATACTGGAAAAGATTTTGTTGACAAATTGATTTATGCTTAAGCTCGTTGTTTTTGTCGTCAGTTCAGGATCCGACCCAACAATATCTTATCAAATATGATGATGAACTATTACAGTCAGAGAATTCGACTGAAATCTCTTACCGTAAAGTACCTTCAAATTGGAAGCGCAATTAAAATATGTGAAGCTTCGTAATTTTTGTCGTTTCGATCGATAATTAGAGGTCAAAAAAAGAATAAGAATTGATAGGGTAACTCAATCGAAAGTAATATACGCTTGGAATGAACTATCTGAGCATCGATTATTCATTTTCCACAAAATTCGATGTTACTTGAAACAAATAATTGGCAAAATTTCCATTTTTGATTTGACATAAACATCTTATGTTTATCCCCACCTAATTCATCCATAATGAAGGGAAAGAAATTTTGTGATTAGAAATAATCATACTCTTTTCTATTTTAATCATATCTCTAAGCCGTTACATATTTCAGTGTGAAAGGAATGGGATGATATGGCAGTGAATCTGTTTAGTTCAAGGAAATTGTAGACAGGAAAATGTCAAAAATATGTTAAGCTTGGATTGCAGAGGGAACATTATTATTATTGAGAGCTGAAATTTGACTTCGCTGAACGAAATAAGCTTCCTCTGCATTCAAATCAAAACTCGAAAAAGCAATGAATTTTGCTTACACCATACAAAGTATGAAGCCAAACCTGTGCACAGATATCATTATTAACAAAAAATGTTACAATTTGATCACCAAATCACAAAGTCATTCCCACAATTTCTGATGATATAAACATAAATGCTGATCACACTACTGCCGAGTTATTTAATGAATATTCATGAAATAATGAAAGAAGATTAGTTGCAATCTACTAGTCATTGATAACAATTGTTATTCATAACCAATGATTCGCTATCATGGTAGTGATCAACGACTGTGAATAGCAACAGTCAGAAATAGGAGGGGATTCGATGATCGAATATAACTCCTCGTTTGCCCCCTTAATTTTTTCAATTTTAATCGACGAAATACTTCCAAGTATTAACAACTAGTTTATAAGTATCAAAAAGATGTGTGTGGAACCTATTCTACTAAAAAAACTTCATCAGTCTAATCATAAAAAATTATGGTAATTAAATTAAGAATTTAATCATTGCGAAGTCTGGACAAAGTTAATCCTATATTTACCTAAATTTGATAGGAACACCTGTTACTACATAACAGTGTCAACTAAAAGATTAGAATGATTGTGAACATGATTAACTAGTACCCAAAGAGGACAATTTTTTAGATAAGCAAAAGAAATAAAAAGGAAATGTGCAGTTTATAGCACTCAAGAATGATCCTTTACAGCATCCCACTGCTTGAGATTTGAGAGCAAATTCTTTGCTCCTTTTATCAGTTTTTGAATGATGCTATCGTTGCAAATTAAAAGCAAACTGATCAAAGTGGATGAAAAGATGCGAATCATAAGAGAATAGAAACCAAAGAGTCACCTAGTTAAAAATTACAGATAAAAGTTATACAAAATACTAGATGAATGCAAAGCCAAGCTAATTTCCAGTTAAATCAAATTAATTACAACTATGTCTCTGCAAAAACGTATGAGAATGAGTAAATAAAGTCTGCAACACTTGTTAATAATTGTTTACTGCTGTTACCATGAAAATTGACTGATTTATTGAAAACATACGAAAGATGAAACACTGAAAGAATAATATAATAGTAAGAGAATAATAAAGAATAAAAGATTTATATCGACGTTTCAAAAGCTATCGAATTTGAGAAATGAAAATTTCACTTGAAGAGGAAAACTTATGCTGCAGAGTAATGGGAGTAATAAGTCGTATTATCGCTCTCGGCGACAATAATAGAAATGAAGAGATATACAGATATACGAAGTATCACAACTGAGCAATATAAGAAGTGCAAGACAATGTATCACACTGAGCACTACCACAACTACTACTACTACTACTACTACTACTACTACTACTACTACTACTACTACTGTTACTACTAACTACTACTACTACTACTACTACTACTACTACTACTACGATTTTCAGTGATATATGTCATATTTGTAAGGTCATTTTCACGGGCTTTTCACAAGTCAAATGTCATTCATCGCACGGGACACAATCCCACTACACCTTATTTATCGTCTTATCACTGTTTGCTCATCTTACTTGATCGAAGAATCATATGATTGACGAGAAATTTTAGAGGGCATGCAATGTGCAATATAATGATCATTTGATTAAACCACCAATACAACAATAATTTGTTGTCAGAAATTTAAATCAATTGCTTTTTTGATTTTGTTTTAAAGTTTTCGCTTTAAAATATTTGTAAAATGATGGCACAATTTAGATATAATTCCTATGGAACTATAATGTAATGCAAAAGAGTTTCAGAGAGGAATGATAAGTATAATCAAGATTAGCTAATGCTAGCCAAACCAGAATTTTAGAAACATCAAGAAACATTGTAACCTCCTCCTTAAAACTCATTTGCTGCCGCACTTTTTCTTTGTTTTTTTTTGTAAGTAACATAAAATGTTTCCTCCTCCTTTTCATTCTTGAACAAAAGGTTACAAAGTTAAGGACTGAAAATTGAAACATAACAGCAAGCTACTTTGTTCTTGCTGCAACTGTTTTATTACATCACTTTTCAGTTTCCATTGATGCTTAAATTTTGAAATTTTAGCAACACATTACGAAAATGAATAGCACACAACTGTTAGAAAAGCTACGAAATTAATCAAATACCACAATAATGATATGACAGACTAACCATCTATTCAAAGCAGATGACTCATGTTAAAAGGGCAAAGATTTCGGAATCTCATCAAAAATTTGGAATTTTTGCAATTACATAGTTGAAAGAGAAAAAAAATAAGCAAAAGAGCCGTTCGCAGTTAATTCGAATTATAAAAGTAAAGAAGTCTATCAAGGAATTATTCAAGTGATGATAGGAACAAGAAGAATAATGCATTAATATATGAATACTTGCGCAAAGTAAATTTTAAGATCTTTTTTAAGATCAAATTTATCAATCTTTAATACATATGTTTTCAGACATTCCTTCCTATTACTATTAGTCACTTATTCGAAGATCTTAGTTGATCGTTCCCAATCAAATGATATTAAATTATACGAACAAAAATGGCGTCATTCGATTTCGTTATCTTTTCAAAAAATCAGTGATTTTTTTATGCTAATCATATTATTTGAAGCAAATTTTTTCATATATCATTTTTTTTTCAAAAGATAACTTACAAAGTTTGTTCGCCTATAAATCTGGAAGAAATCTTAGAAGAGTCATTTTTTGAGGGAAAGGAAGAAGGGAAAGATGAAAACTCACCTTTATCTCTTTTTAGGGAAATTGTCTTTGAAGGACAAGAGAAGGCATGTAAAAAAGAACTTAAAAATGACAACCTTTTATGAAGACTAAGAATAAATGCTAGATGGAAATGCTCCTTTTTCTTCCTTTTATATGAAAGGAATGATCATAGAAATTTGCAACAATTTTTGCAAAAAAAAACCACTGGTCTCAAGAACTTTTGGCGCCATTGAAGTAAAGAGATTCACTTATTTGAAATGAGCAAATTTCATACATATTTACTTCGCATTTCTACCAATAACTCATTTGCTTTCGCTTTTTCCTACACGAAGAATACTCAGCGAAGAAATGAGGTATTGTTAATGTTTGCAAGCTGCTCGCAAAAACTTCCCTTTTCCTGCGCTCCAATACAGTGGTAATTAATAGAACTAATTGTGTAGGAATGAATTTCGAAGTTGAGGATATTCGACAACATACAGTGTGATAAAGTAAGCTAGAAGATATCTGGAAGAAATGGGGAAAAATCTACCGTTAAACTTTCCTGATCAGCCATTTAGTTCTGTTATTAATGGAATATTCACTTCCACCTGGTTCAAAAGTCAAATCTTCGATATTAATGCAATTACGAATAATTTCTGACGATTTATTGCGTAGCAATTAACCGTATCACAACCGTTTCCACTCGTAGATGTTCAACTACATTGATTTATGGTAATAAATAGAGTTTAAAATATAAATTATTATGGGTTAATTATTTTCTAAAAGTTGATAATATGCAAATTTGGCAATCCTTTGGTAGAAATGAAATTGCCAACTAAATGCTAAACGCTATGTTATTTTATAGTTATAAAATTATTCCTTCAAATTCTCAATGAACAAATTTGAGTGTTTTTACAGGGAAATTGGAACTGAAAAGAATTCAACCATTTCTTGATTGAAAATAGCAGAAGGATGAAAAGATTTACAGAAATCATAGATTAAAAAAACGGACAGACAGCCTATAGAAACGAATGGGATTTCAATACTCTGAAGAGAATTAAAAAAATTCGTCGAAAAATCTTCCTCTCACTCGAAGAAAGCATTGGATAAGTAAATCTTTGCCTGCTTAACTTATTCATCATTCAACTGCTAACAGTCTGAGAAAAACTGAGAATCAAAGTGTTCCCTGCGGGTAATTTGCGCTAACTTGATAAGACTTGCAGATAAATGGTAATAGATTGGCGAAAAATTAAGCACTTGCTATTTTCTTCAAGCATAACCGAAGTCAATTCTTTTACGACTAATCATCACTAGATCACTATTTCATTTAAGAAAGATGTTGAAGGAGTGGCCCAGTCTCTAATTCCAAATTTTAGAAGATATGGAGATTTTCAATTCGTCGCTAGATAAGTAATTCGAAAGATAACACTTTCCGATTCGTGAACTTTTCGGCAAATTCTCTCACCTACACAAAATGGCTTTTGCATTACATTATCATGAAGCTCTGGAAGTCTTAAACCGCCTTATCGTGGAGCAGAAACAATAAAAGAAATAGCTTAGGGAGACTTATTGGAAGTTTCATTTCATCGGAAATATGGAAAGAGGAGATTTAACCTAAGTTATCGAAAGGGCAAATTTAAACAGCATTAGCTGGATAATGATAACTGGACAATAATAGTAGTATCGGAATGAATGTGATAATGCGAGATAAGGCATGCTGACCAGGAAAGAGAATTGAATAGTCACTTCTCGTAAAATAAATTTGCATTTGTGGAA